CTCCCCCTCTCTCTCCCTCTCTCCCTCTCTCCCTCTCTCCCTCTCTCCCTCCTTCCCTCCTTCCCTCCTTCCTTCCTTCCCTCCTTCCCTATTGCTCTGGCTAGGACTTCCAGAGTCCTAGTTGAATAGGCGTGGCAAAGGGGGGCATCCTTGTCTTGTTCCTGATCTTAGAGGAAAAGCTTTCAGGTTCTGACTGTTGAGTTTGTGGTTAATTGTGGGCTTGTCATATGTGGCCTTAATTATGTTGAGGCAATTCCCTTCTATTCCTAGTTTGTTGAGTGTTTTTTATCATGAAACGGTGTTAAATTTTGTCAAATGCTTTTTTTGCATCAATTGAGATGATCATTCACAAACACATTTCTATGTAATATTTTACAGCCTTCCAAAACGTCATGCAAGATCCTGTCAAGGCGCGCTAGCCAGTTCCCACTCTTTTTGCTTTCGGGATGGTGGTGTGGTGATGGGAGGCATCGTGTGTCCTCTTGCTCGGAGTGCGGACCTTCCCACTGAGCAGAAATAGAGAGTCCTTCACTCTTTAATGTGGAGCCACGTTAAACCTTCCTAGTGGCGGTAGATCAGTGAGCCACACACAGCTAACACCTCCTTCTTCCACTGACTTTTGATTTAATTCAGTTAAGTCAGAAGCAACTGAGCCTTTCATTTCTATTAACATACGTTCAAAGAGTCTTTTTATACAGCTGTGATTCTAGTGTCCCTTACGAGGTTTTCCCAACTTGGATACGACCTGTCATCCATCTTTAAAGAAGCCAACTTAGCTGCTCATGTGGAAGGGAGTGGCAGCGGGGGTGGTGGCATCTGTCCCCACATGGGCAGACATTCAGTGTCACACACATAGTGGTTGGTAACCTGATTTTTGGTGTCAGTCTCTGTGTCTTCCTCTTTTATCTTCCAGTGGGAGGCTGGATCTTTTCCAATCCGGATGGCGTGTGCACAGCAGGCAACGCCAATTACCAGTACGCGACGCCCTTGCCGCTGTCTGCTCCCCACACCCACCACGGCTGCGAGCGCTATCCTGGCCTCCGGGGACACCGGCAGGCGCCCTACCCTCCTACGTACGTGCACAGAAACCATTCTCCCTCAGGTGTGTGATTCTGCTCAGGAAGCTCTTGGGGGCCGTGGGTGGGGTGGTAGTGATGGAGAGAAATGGAGAAACAGCTAGTAAAAAGCAGTGTCTGAAGCTGGAACCTCTTTTGTGTAACGCAGATAATATTATTGTAAGTAATTATTTTAATGTTTTCGTTTATATACTAACAGTAGATTATGTACTTATAACATTATTATGAAAGAAGAAGTAATTCTTTCACAAGACACTGAGTCTCCTGGTCTCTAATGGGTGTGGGAGGCCTCCTCCTGGGGTGCTGGTGTCCTAAGCAGCTCCAGGCTGTGTCTCTAAAGGCCAGGTTTGGTCCTGGGGGATGAGACATCGCTCCCGTTACCATCACGTGACTCTTTCCTACAATGGGGTTGCGTAGCTCAGTCCAGGGAGCCCTGGTCCCCGCAGTGAGCAGCTGTTAGAAGGCCTCTGGGGAGCTGGGTCCAGGCGTGGGTCTGACTCAGCCGGAAGCATGCCAACCCCGCCTTCATCATTTCTGCAGCCTGAGTGTTCGTTAAGTTGACACTCTCACGTGCTCTTTTCCTCTTTGCTGCCTTGCGAAGCCCAGACCTCGCCTGGCTATTTGTACGAAGGAACGGAACAAGGAAGCCACGGATGGGTTGCTTTCTCGTTCCGTCATTCATACAACAATTTATCGAGGGCTAACTATGTTTCCAAGCTCTGCCCATGGACAAGATGGACAAGTATCGCACCCTCTTGGAGATTCTATTCTCATATGGGGAGCTTGATATTAAATAAATAAGTACAACCTCCGGCATGGGAGATGGAGGGGAGGGTTAAGACTGCAGCTCAGGGAACCCTGGGCTCTGTATCTGCAGGGGGCCTGCTGGTCACCGGGACTTACCCGGGGTCCCTGCGCCCACCACCTCTGGGGACCTCCTCAGCCGTTGCCAGGAAGAGAGCAAAGGTAGCTTAGTGATCTCAGTGGGCGGTGCTCTCACTCTGCTTCCTGGGTCTTTCCGTGGTCAGCACACAGAGCACCTCTTCTGAGCATGTGCTGTGCCCTCGTCTAGCCAGTGGGGATGGAAGGTGACGAAGGCACAGGCTCTTCCTGGAGGAGCTCTGGGCTACACGAGCGCATCCATCATTCATCCTCGTACAGTGTAGTGACAGCTCTGATGTGGCCCTGGGCCTGCAGTGTCGCCCAGGAACTTGCTCCATCAACTGAACTGTTGTTATTTCCTCAAAGTGAATTTGATAGAAAGTTCCGGTAATAATCTGCAAGTTTTCTCTGGAGCGGACAGCTGGACGTCCTTGTCCTCCACACCCCATGCCAGCCTCCTGTCTGTACCCCACACCAGCGGACCCATCAATCCAGGGCCCAGGTAAGAACAACACCAGCATGGGGCGTACATGGGCCCTGGAGACCTGAGTGTATTCTTTAGGGCGGCTTGGGCGAAGCTGTTGTCCTGCTTGCTGAGCCCCTGGGGAGTGACAGTCACAACAGGATGGACCTTTCCCTCCTGGAGAAAGGGTGCTGGGAAAGCTCAGTCATTTACTCTTTTGGTAGCTTTGCAATTTTATTTTTAAAAGGCTAAAGACATTATAGCCTGGGGGTTCATTTGTCAGAAATACTGTACGCTGTGGTGGTAGCAGATAGATAATGAATAGAGGGGAACTGAAGGGGAAAAGTGTAAACACACCCTGAGAATTCAAGACCTCGGTTGTCCATATTCTTCTAAGCTGCCCATCCTAACAAGGGCATGGACCGTGGGCTCCTGGCACCCCACCCAGGTCACAGGGCTGAGGGAGCATGTGGGACCCCTTGCATAACTCTCACGCCAGTGACCTGCCTTCTGGAAGTCAGCGTGGTAGAGTGGAAGGGAAGGGAGCGTGGAGTCTCACGGGTGTGGGCTTGAATCTCAGTTCTACCCCTGTTGGCTTAGTGACCGTGGGCGACTTTCTTAGCCTCACAGAACTTCAGCTTTGTTATCTGGAACATGGAAATCATGTGCGCTGCTCTGTAGAGTGATGGTGAGATCGAAATGAGAAAATGCATTAAAATGCTTGGTTAAGTGATAACACGTTATGTGCATGTCAGCCGTTACGTTCAAGAGGTATGCGGACTTTTGAGACGGTCTGGAAAGGGTTCGAAATGAAAGGATGGGCTTTGGGAGGTGTCAGGTGACTTGTGATTCGTAGGTCTCTAAAAAGTTAGCAGAAGGTAGGGCTTCGGTCTACGGTAGCAGTTCTCACACTGAAGGTGCAATAGAACCACCTGGGATGTGATTAAAATGCACAGTGGGGGCCTGAGACTGCATTTTCCACAAGCGTCCAGGTATTGCTGACGTTGCTATAAACTGTGATCCGATGACCCTGACGACGACGTTGCTGTGGCCACGGGCTGTCCAGTGTGGCAGCCTTGAAATGCAGCTCGTCCAAGTTGAGATGTGTTCTAAGTGTAGCATGCACACAGAACTTAGAAGGCTTTGCACGAAACAAAGAATAAAAAAAGTCAAGGTTTTCTTTTTTACATTGAATGCATGATTTGAAATGATAATATTTTAAATAGTTTTCAGTTACGTAGGCTATTACTAGCAAGAAGTTGTTGTTGTTGTTTTAAATGTGGCCACTGGGAAGTTGAGCCTGGCACGTGGGGCTCACATGTCATTTCAGTTGGACAGCGCCCGACTGGGGGGCCTCAGGGGCATGTGCTGATTTGGGCTGTGGTAGGAAGGGAGAGACAGGATGGTTGAAGATATGAAACAGTCCTGTGCCGGGCTCTGTCCTAGACCCTTTGAGTAAGTGATGCATGGTGTTCAAAGATATCCACAGGCTCGTGTCAAAATCCCTATTTTACTGATAGAGACGCTAAAGCGGAGAAGTATTAAAAACGTCGTGAAGGTCACACAGTGAGTTATGTCACGCAGAGCCCATGGTTTTCCCACTGGCCCAGGAGGCATCAAAACAAGGCCCTGAGTGATTATTGTAGAAGAAATAGGGGCCAGAATCCTACAAGCTGAGCTGACGCCAAAAAGAAAAACCCAAAAAAAGTTAGGGTGTGGGCTTCTGCAGGTCCCATATAACCAGTGAGGTCTGTGGTATCAAAATAGGGGTGGCATCGCTGCCTCTGGTTTCCTCAGGGGCATGTGTAACCCGCTCCTGACTCCATGAAGATATTGCTGGAGAAAATCAAATGTGTTCGGTACTATGACTGGGTAACCAGCCTCTTCTCAAACGGTGAGGTGTCAGGCAATGCGGGGACTCTAAGAAGTCAGAACACGGTGATGGCTAAAGGCTCGAAGCACTGGAGGGCATTCCACCTGTCCCCACGGCCATCATTTCCATCTGGGTTCTATGGTGCGGCCTGAAATGTGCAGCACATTAAAATCAGCTGGAAAGGTTTTTAAGACTCCTGATGGCCAGGCTGCATGGCAGGCTAGGGAACTCAGAATCTCCTGCGGGGAGGACCCAGGCAACAGAATTAAAAACAAAAAAAACCTTGCTCGGTGATTCCAATGTGCAGCCCAGCTTGGGAACCAGTGCTCTAGAATAAGAGAAGTCCAAGAAAGTGGTCCAGTTCCCGGCCTTTCTGCCAGGGACCGGAGCTGACCCGGGGGGGGACCAGGAGTGGAGAATGAATGATAACAGCCAGCTTTTCCTGAGGGTGGTGTCCTAGGAATCACAGCCTCATCTTCTTAGTTAACCCTCACGACAATAGCTGTGAGGCCTGGGTAATTATCACTCCAAACCCTGAAGATGAGGAAACTGATGCTTAGAGATGCTCAATACTTTGACCAAGGTCACGGAGCTAATAGTGGTAGGACTAGGATTCAAACCCAGGTTTTCTGACCCCGGTATGTCCTGATTATGATGCCACCAGGCCTCCCCTGGCCAGTGAGACATCTCCCTCGCAGATCATACCGTCCAAATATGCCCCCTTTCCCTCCCCTGCCCATGTACGCAGGCCGCACGAGAGGGAGGCCCAGAGACATAAAATTCTGTGTTCAGACTTGCACGACTTCCTTGTGGTAGGGCCAGCATCAGTGTTCAGGTCTCAGGACACCTAGTCATGTGCGCTCCCACCGCCTGTCTCTGCTTCTCTTGGCTCCTCTGCAGACACAGGGCCAGCCTGTGCCAGAGCTAGAAATAAAGCTGTGGGCAGATGGTCTCTTCCCAGACCCGCGCCCCTCGGCACTGTATGTGTTGTCAGGTGGTCATTCTTTCTGGGAGTGTCATCAAGCACCCTCTCTGTCTCTATCTCTCTCTCTCTCTCTCTGTCTCTGCAGCCCATACCCGTGCCTGTGGACCATCAGCAACAGCGGTGGGGGCCCTGCAGGGTCGGGCCCAGAGGTGCACGCCGGGTCCCCAGGGGCCTTTCTCCTGGGTAACCCCGCCGTGACTTCACCCCTCTCCACCCAGGCACCCACTTCGGCTGGTGTGGAGGTTCTGGGGGAGCCCTCGCTGACCAGCATTGCCGTGTCCACCTGGACAGCAGTGGCCTCGCACCCCTTCTCGGGCTGGGGTGGCTCGGGTGGGGGTGGACGCCATTCTCCCCCCTCCTTGGACAGTTAGGCAGGCGCCTAGGGAAGGTGTCAGCAGGGAACCGGTGTGTGTAGGGCACGTAGAAACCCCATCTACGTTCCCGGTGAGTCAGACTGCAGGGTCTCCCCACCCAGTGAGCTGGAGGGTGGGGTGGCTTCAACCGGAAGCCTTCTGGAAGATTGTTTAGTGTGGATGATGCTAATTATATCACTTGCATCTGTTCTAGAATTTTCCTTTGGTACTTCCATTTTTCTCTGCAACTTATCCAGACTATGCTTAGGCAACAAAAGTTTGTTGAGTACCTTGTGCCCTGCCCTGTACTCTGAAATGATTCTGGAAGGCTGCACGTCCTGTCCTGCGAGGTGGTGCAAAGATATTAAGTGAGAGCTCCAAGTTTCCCGAGCCTCAGGCCACTCCTCGCAGCTTTGTGCAGCCCTGGAAAGGATGTGTGGCCCCAGGGCTTCTGCTTCCAGCATGAAATTAACAAAACTGGAACTAATCACATGATGGAGCAGTGTGCCTGGGATGGAGGAAGTGAGGTCGTCTCGTTCCCTTGCTCGGAAGCCTTGCAGCAGGAAGCCACATCGCCCCACTCCCAGCACAGCCTCAGACCGCCTCCAGCTTTAGCTCCCTCTGTTACCCGTTAGCATCCTGTGTTGCAGTCGGGGCAGACACCCTGCCTCGGTTCTCTGCACATTCAGTGCAGTTACACACCTCTAGACCTTCTCCCGTGCCTGAGCCGTCCTTGCCTGTCCAGTCCCACCTGTGTGAATCCTGTTCATCTCCCAGGGACCAGCCAGAATGCCACTCCCCGCATCCAGCGTCCTCCCTGCCCGGCCCACGACCTCCCCGGCTCCCTGCTCTGCACACCTGGTTTTGCCTCTGCCATAGAGCTCACCTCGTTCTGCCTGTGTGTTTCGTACCTGCGTGTGTGTCTCTCTCCCACTAGACTGTAAGCCCCTTGGGGGTGAGGCCTAGCCTTGTCTTTGTACCCACAGCTCCTGGTCCTGTGCCTTGCCTACTGTAGGTGCCCAATAAACATGGCTGAGTTGAATTGGTGTGAAGTGCGTGTGCTACAGGGACAGTGATGGAGCTTGCTGGGAGGGCAACGCTCAGAGACACGTGTCAGTGTGGGAGCTCAGGAACACGCTGCGCTGATGACGTATGGAGACAGTGTGGGCAAGTGTCTGCTGACATATGGAGACAGTGTGGGCGAGGGTGGCTACTCCCAGACACCGGTCCTGGGCTCCCCCGTGCTGGCATCCCCTGGGGCACCTGTTAGGAGTACAGATTCCTGGGCACACAGCACACCGATTGGATCAGAATCTTTGGGGCTGGAGTCCCAGGATCTGCATTTCAAAGAAGGGCTCCAGGCAACAGTCACAGAGTCACGTTTGCAAATGACTTGCCTGGAATAGAGAAATAGAACTTATGATACATACTCTAGGAGCCTCATTCCAGGTCAAAATTTCAACCTCTGCCCCAGCCAAGGTCATTGCCATAGCTGATGAACAAAATCACTGTTTTTGTTGGTTTTCCTTTGCCTCTCCTGCCCAGTGCTGGATGTGCCGATCACGCTGGGAGCGAGGTTCCCAGTCCTGGACAATGCGTGGCTCTGCCGACCTTGATGTCACACTGCACGGACTGAGCAGTCACTCGGGGTGTGGCGGAGGGAATCTGAGGTTCTGCGTGGAGCACGTTAATTGCTCCCCCAGCTGAGCCCCTTCCAGCCCATCCCATGCCATACCTTGTCTGGCGTGTACAAACATGGTGCTGTTGAGTCCTTGTCCCTTTCAACAGAGAAGGGTCCTCTCACACGCTGTGGTTAGCACCACCTGATATAGTGAGCTGGGTGATGGGAAGATGCATGAACAGGAACGTGTATAAAAGGCTTTCAAGCTTCTCGAATACATCTGAGACCGCCAACTCTTAAACCGACTGAAGCACTCCAGTGTGGTTCCTCTTCTGTGCGTCGTTCCATGTGTGGACTCGGGTCTCTGGACACAATGCCACTCCAGCTGCACGGGGTCCCGGGAAGCCCCTCACGGCACTCAGGGCTGCCTGGCCCGAGGTCCGGGCCCCTCATCGGTGTGTGAGTGATGGAGGCACAATGTACCCACACGACTGCTCTTTGAAAGCTGCTGGGTCAGTACCCCCCTAAGACAGGACTCGTTTGGGCTCCCCACTCCCTCTGGGATGCCATTAGAGGCCATTAAGATATTAATATATTAGCATCTGTGCAAGATGGTATTTTGGTAAATAATAGAAAGCACCTCATTTCTCGTTCTGTTGGAAGTCAGGCAAAGGTCTCTTAGTCCTGTGTCAATGTGCTTGGCCAAAGCAATTAGGCTTGTGAGGACCTATCTTTAGGATCCTTACCTGCACCTCCCCCCAGCTTGGAGCAGACAGAAGACGAGGCCCAGACGCCCGGAGCAGAGAGAAGTCACTGGCCATCATTCTCTTCATTTCTGTTGCTCAGGTGAATGGGGTCCTCTACAGAGAGAACACGGAAGTGTCAGCTGAGGCGGGGGTGGTACGTGTCATCCATCTTCCAGGTTGCTCAGCGTGGAACCTGCCATGATTTTGAAACACAGCGAGCATGCCGGCCGGTTCTGCAGAGAGGGTCTCTGTTTGCTGTTAGCCGTGCAGCCAGAGCTCGATACGTTCTGGGGTTCTCTCTAGACAGTCTGGGGCCGATTTCAGATTGGGAGGAACCACACTTGAGTACTTGAGTCGACTGAATAAATGACAGAGCCTCTGATGTACTCGAGGAACTTGGAACCATTTATACTGTTTCCTGCTCACGCATCCTCATTACCCTCATTATAGATAGAAGCGGCGCCACGTGTAGGGTCGTAGGCCTGTCACGTGAGATTGAAAAACACAACTCCCCCCTGAAAAGAAAGAGTGAATACATTTCTTTAGCCAGACAGTGGAGACTTGAACTCTCCCTGAGTCCTGGTCTATTGGAAAGTGTCTCCCCCGTGGGGCTTTTATTTGGGTCGACATGGCCCCACAGCTGTCTTCCCTGCAGGCGGGCCAGCCTCGTCACCGAACACCTCTGCTCATCACGCCTAAGCCAGGTGCCCTGATGTCACCCCATGGAGGCCTCCTAGGACTGGGGGGAAGAGTGGGGAGTGGTGATAAGAGGAGAGGCAAAACACTAAATTATTAAAAGAATTTCAATAAAAGATATTTGTAGGCTGGTTGGTGTTGGCCGCTTCCCCCTCATTCCTTCTTGTCCTGGAGGGAGCTGGGCGTGGCACGCACATAAGGTGACCCCACTGGCCTGCCTGGGACGGAGGGGTCCCCTGGGATGTGGGATTTACAGTTCGGAACAAGACGCCATGGGTTTGCCCAGGATGAGTGGGTCAACCTTCAACATGGGACCTGCGCTTATGGGCTGGCCAGGGGGTGTCGAGAACCCTGCCGTTTTGACCACATGGGGAGCGACCGCCTTCCTGAAACGGAGTCGGACAAGCAGAGGGGTAGCAAGGCTGAGGTGAGACACGGCTTTGCAGCTTTAGGCCTCGTCTGTGCCTGCCCAGCATCCTATAGGCGGGTCTGGTGTTGAGCACAAGGATTTACAGGAGGAAACTGCTGCTAAGAGCTGCCAGACGTGCTGCCGTCCAAGCAGCTGCCCGGTCCATGACAGACAAACCTGTTCATCTGTCCGGCTCTATCGAGTGTCTCCCCGCCAAGGGCTTAATAGGGTCTGAGACTTAGAAACACTGCGTTCACTCTTAAGATTTTTCTTCTCTCAGAATTGTTGTAAAAACTCCAGGCTTGGCGCGTGGCCCAGAGCTGGTGAGGTTTCACAGATGGATCAAGGATCGGAGCTGGTAAGTCAGGCTGACTGCAATCCCAAGTTCAGGTATAGGATTTGTCACCAGCTCAAACGCCAGGAGTTCCAACAGAGGCCCTGGGCTTGTGCTAATGATATCGCCCGGATCAATTAGTAGATGGTCATTGAAGAGGTGGGACCCCGTCGGGGGGTTTACCCAGGAAGGGGAAGGGCACTAGAGGAAGCCTAACCTCTTCCAACACCCTGCGCTCCTGCCCCATGGCCACGCAGGACTGGTGGACTGCGGGTGGCATCAGAGCTAGTAGGGCACTTCCTTGAAGGTCCTCAGAGTTGCATAAAAACCTGGAGTATTAGCAACTCTGTAAGCAAGGGCTTTGCTGTATGCTGAAATATATGTGTATGTACATTGGGTAACTTTGGGGGGGGTGGGATGGGGGGAGGGGGTAAGAGGAAGGGGTCCATAGCTTTTCTTAGATTTCCAATAGGATCCATCACCCCCCGCAGTTAAGGACATGCTCTTGAGAGAGAGAGGTCAGCCCCTGGCTTCAACCTTGAAAGTATGTGTGAATGACTTAAAATTTCTCCAGAACAGACCTCTTGGTTTGCGTCTTTACAGGACATGTCCACTTCTGTGTCCTGTGGGTGCCTCCGTGTCAACACATGGAAGCTCAAGTTAATAATTGCTTTTCTATATTCCCTGTGTAGATATACGACATCACCCTTCACTCAGGTACTAACCACCAGAAACTCGTGAGTTATCAGAGAATCCTTTTCATCAGCCACATTTAACTGTCACCCCTGGTGTATGTTACCTCGGGAAGTACCTTTTGCTTGGACTCTACTACCTCCTTCTCTCAATCCCAACTGCCTCTACCCTCCCTGAGCCGGAAATGAGAACCACAGTAAACATCTACTTCAAGTCATTCTCTCTTTTTCATTTTTCATTTTTTCCTCTGTTGTTAAAAATAACATGCGTTGCAGATACAGCTAAAGTGTCACACTCCAGTACATTTCCTCACCTTTCTTTCCCTGAGGTAACTGTTAAGACATCTCACATTTCTACATACGTTATGAATAGAGACATGACCACTTTTGTTCTGGATTTTTCAAAGATGTTTGTAGAGCAAAGAGTCTTAGAAGATGGAGCTAGTGTCTCCCTGTGAGCAGAGGGCAGGCTTGTTTACTGTCTGGTATAATGAAGACAGCGCCTCCATCCAGGGCAATGGACAGGGTTTCTTATAGCCTGTTATAAAAGCTTGGGGCCCTCAGCTATGATAGAAACCCATTGGGCCACTCAGCATCGCCTCCATGGGTGGGACCTGGGGGACAAGGGGACCTGATGCCACCTGCTATGCTGTGAGTGACAAAGTCCTTTGTCTCTGACCCAGGAATCTTCTGTCTTTTGTCAGCCCCAGTGAACGGGCAGTCTAACTTGTCAGTTGGAAAAAGGGCAACATCTTAAAAATCTTTCAAAGCTCTTGACTGTAGCCACAACCTTGAAGTTGATGTATATAATCCCCAAACATATTCTTGTAATTTCCTAGTATATGTGAACCCATAACCCATGGATCTATTGTTTTGTGTATCTCAAATTCTAGGTAAGTAATAATCAGTCTCTACAAGTCACATTGAAACTTGTTTTTTTAACTCAACAATATTTTAACATATGTATGTTTGTAAACGTAAATACAGTTCATTCCTTTTCATTGTTCTATCATCATTTATTAGTTTTCCATTTTATGAATAAACCTTAGTTTCTATGTCATTCCCCTACTTAGGAGACTGAGTTAATTTCCACTTGTTTTCTGTTAGAAAAAGCGCTGCCGTGAACACCCTTGTGTATGTCTCTCGTGAGCATGTGTGTGAGCATCTGCAGGCTGAATGCCCAGACTCAGGACGTGTGCAGCTCAACGTCGGTGGATATTGTGACATTGTCCTCTGAATTGGTTTATCGTTTTACAATCCCAGTAGGAATATATGTTTTCAACCTTGCTAGCATCCTGTATTACTGAGCTATTAATATTTTTCAACTTGAATGCTGTAAAATTTTATCTGGTGGTTTTCATTTTCATCTTTGCTGAGGTAGAGTATCTTTTCTTAGTATTTTGGCCATTTAGGCTCTCTATGAAAAGCCTCTTCGTTTCTGTGCCCTTAATGCTTCTGAGTCATTTGTCTTTCTTTACAGGTTCTGGGTGATATTTCTTTGTGAGTAGCGATGGGTCTGCTGGGAAG